CATATATTGCCTTCCAACACTCCACTGTCTGAGCCCAATGAATCCTATTCCACTGTCTTTGCAGATCCCAGCATTGGGGCTTACGTGTTAGTTTTGTAACAAATTTGGTAGCGACTTTTGTGGATACACCTTTGGTAACTGCCCCAAGCATCTTGGGATCGATTTTCTTAACCCCAAAGCCGCTCTGTTTAGCTGTGGTCAATGTTGGCAACCCGAAGCAAGTCGAATAACAAGCTGGATTGACCACTCATCGCCCTCTTTTGGATTCTGGCTGAAAAACTCTGATGGTGCGGGGTTCGCAGCAGCTGGACATGCCGGGGTGGGTGTTGCGTTGAGCCATCGGGTGGTACTGTATAAGGGCTCAAAAACTCAGATATTGTTCTGAACATAGGTGATTGGAAGGCGGATGTGGACAGGTTGACGACTGTTCGGTCTCTTTTGGGTGATCGTTTTAGATTGGATACACAAAAAGCTCGAAAAACGATAATGCCCACCGCAGCTGTGTGCTGACTACTGCTCCATCAACTTTCAGAATATGGCCTCAAGGAATTTCAACCGCTACGGCAGTCTGTTCCATGCTCTAAGGCTTGGAACGATGAGTTGGTCGCAACACGGTGTCTTGTAAAGACAAGATACCAACTGTTGGATTGTTTTACTCCGGATCAAATTGGACATTGAGTTTGAGTCAACTGATATGGCAGGGGATTTCTTGAGCGCGTGTAAAGCCTCCCGTCATAAGTACATATCATCGCAAGTGCAGGTAAGTGCAGTGAGCGGTAGGTAAAACTGAAGTCGATATTCTGAGCGCCGATAGTAAAATACCTCGTGTATTCACTTCCGCAAACAACCGTCCCACACTGTAACTCCGGTGTAGGGATACGTTTGGTGTCCATTTGAATAGACTAGGTAGGTGACCCCCAGTTTTCTGCGACTTTTTAGTACTGTAAGTGACATTTTCGGTTTGCCATTCTGAGCGAAATGCTTTCCTATATGGGGAGGAAGCCGTAGCACATCCTGAAGAAATTAGATTTCCTGAATGAACGTTTCCGAGGTGTAGTTTCGGCTGGATTCATGAGATAAAGCCAATATCAGCAAAAACTCCCAAGGTTTGCATGCTGTCCCAGTCCACATGGTTTTCCGATGTACGGAACGAGCCATAATACCGTCGATACTTCTGGCGATTAAAACTTCCAGAAATGGAAGTGTTTGTTTCCCTGTGCAAAGTCACGGGTGAGGAACTTTTGAACCATTTGGAGCTTAGCAACGAATACGTTCTAACCCAAACGAACCACTCTGTCTTCAGCCCCAAACGGCAAGGGTCGGTCACAGCCTGCCGCCCTTATTCGGAATACTCTTGTGGACTCTGATCACGCACTTGTCCACTGCTGCTCTTCATTGCGCGTTTCGCGTTTGTGCAGCAGGTGGAAACATGAGGAAGTCGCTAAAAGCTTCCCCGAAAAAAGCGATGCCGACAAGAATGTCCACTCTGTCGATTCTTGTTCGGCATTGAAGTAATGGAGTGAAAGCTGGGAGGTCTTCGCTATCCCGGTGTCCGACTCATTGCTGATGGGGACCTTGTTAATCTGGATTATGCATACGACATCTTATTCCTTGTCTTTGAAGAAGAAGGTATATCACAAAATCTGTTGACTAAGCTAGCCATCATCGTACGACCTCCAGAAGCACTGGAGATTGTGGGGGGATTTTACATGTCTTCTAGTTGTCTTAGCTCAGACGGAAATGTGCCTGATAAAGTCAGCCACGTTTGGTGAATTGCTCTATTGTGGCATTAAAGAGGCATATCACTGGTCCTCAAGTATTGAATGTACCATATTACACTAGGGATTGTATTGCTGTATGATTGAGCAGATGGATGACCGTCGATGTCTCAGAAGTGTTGCTGGTGTCGGATGGCTCCACCACAAATTCGTAACGGGGACATCGGTCATGGAAAACATCCTGCACGATTTACTGCGTTGGCCCGGTCATGCGCTACGCATGCTGAAACATCGTCTACCGAGATGAGTTCTGTTATCCCTGCCTCCCTCAGGATGATGCAAGCAGTAAGGTGGACAAAAAGTGACTTGTATAAGAGTGTGAAAGAGACAACGAGGGGTTTGGAGACTGTTGGTGTGATTCATCTTCCAGAATGAGGTCCTAATGCTTGGCTGAAGAGTGGTTTGCTAGTGTGTTTTGGGACTGCCCTTGACTGGTTTGCAAGATCTGGTGTCCGACTGTTGGTGTGATTCATCTTCCAGAATGGGGTCCTAATGCTTGGCTGAAGACTGATTTGCTAGTGTGTTTTGGGACTGTGCTTGACTGGTTTGCAAGATCTGGTGTCTAAGTGAGATCAGTGGAGTTCGCGCCGCCTACTCCTGTTCAGAACGTATGATTGAGCATCTGGGAGTGTAGGCATCTCAGAATGTTTGTGGTAGGCTAGCATCCGATCTTTCCCATTCACTCTCTTCCTTCTTCTCACTCTTGGGCTATAGATTATTTCAGTCGGTGAAGCATCAGTGTCAACACTGATACTGCTGTCTCTGATGATGGCGGTGATGAGGATAATGACGATGATGATGATGACGACGACGATGATGATAATGACAGGTAGGAGGTAAGGTAATCCCACCGAGTTACACGACAGTTTGTGTGCAAGATTTGCGCTTCATTTTGAGCATCTTACACTCAGTGTATTTGCCTAAAAAACATGGCAACTCTAGATTTGCCATTCCCAAATAATACAAACACTTCCTTGTATAATTTCCGTTCGATTTCCCTTACTTCTTGTCAGTGAATGCCACGAACAGTATTTGACCAAGCTCAACTGTTTGGGTGATCTCGTCGCCACCGACCCACACACAGGTGTTTTGCTAGACCGGGCTGCTTCGCTTTTATTTCTGACCTCGTCCTTTAGTTATGTGACTGTTTTCGATACCTTCGTGGCACTGTGACCATCCGGTTGTCACCAATACACTTCAGAAGGTCACCTGCTATCTGTCAGGTATTTTCAAAGTGTCCCATAGTTGTAGCGAATATACACACATTTGCAAACTAATTTGGTTTTTTCGAGAGACTCACCTGAAACCCAGCTGGATCTATCGTTTGTGATGTTCTCAGGCAATTTGGTTTCACTTAGAACATTAGGTTGACGGAAATCCGGAGACTGCGCCTACCTGATGAGCCCCGAAAAGGGCGAAACTCGTCGTGGGCTGTCGACGGAGTTTCAGCAACCTTATGAGTAGTACATCACAAATACCCCATGGTTTCTTTATTTCAAAATGTCACCAGACTTTCATCCTTTCGCTGTTCGGATAGATCAACTCCGACAAAGTCCGCCGGAGATGGAGAACAGTTGCTTGTTCTTTTTTCAACAGGATTTCACTAGATAAAGCGGCGCGGCGTTCTGGACCACAATTTTTAGCCACCTCAGCTGGAAGTCCGCTTTGAAAAGCCAATCCCCAAAGGTGTCCTTAGGGAGTGTGAATCCACCAACCTAGTATTCACCTACAACTGGACCGGATTTACCTAATTTTCCACCGCAACTTCGAACACGAAAATCCTCGATCACTACCGACATGATTCTGTCAACCGGAATGATCAGACAAGTTGTTTGGACCTGAACACTCATCTGTCGATGTGACCCTTATCAGTCTAACAGTATTCCTGTCAGCAGTGGAACTCGATGACTCATGGTTGGCCTTCCCTTCGTTTTTTTTCATTGAATATGACCTCCACACACACACACACACACACACACAGTGAACTTGCACATCAGTCACAGAAAGACCGGTTATCGCCGGAGTATTAATGGGATATAATGGGGTGGGGATGTTGGGCGGTGGCTGGCCGTCTGGTTGGTTGGTTGGAAAAAATCATTGCTCGGAGCACTGTTCGGTGAACTTACAACAACGGAAAGAACAAGCGAGTGGCGCGCTCCGGGCGACAGAACTCTAGAGATAAGCTATGTAAACATTGGCTATCTCGGTTAAGCGGCACGCCGTCAGGGTAAATCTGTTGTTCCGTCTATAAGGGGTGTCTGACCGATTCAAACTTCTAACTCACCTGTATGCACGTGCTTGATGGCTAACTGTGCGCAGTATTCGTTTTCCGGGCTTTGATGATTAGTCCAGAACAGCTCTAGAACAGAATACAAGTGAAGACTGGAGCAAAAAGGACCGGTGAACTATTCAGGTTGATATTGATTTAGGTCCAACTTATTATGATACGAGGAGTGCTTTGAAATTTGAGTAGTTTCACACGAAATAAAGGGATGGGAGTTTATGCGCCATCTCAACCGCCATTTAGTCGTCCTGACGTTGAAAAGTCTCACTGGTAAAGTCAATGTGAGGAGTTCAAGTCTTCCTCAAGACGCATGTGGTAACTGCAAACACAACTATACCTGGAGGCTTTCACTTGAAACTTCACCCCGGTCAGCGAAGCCACCAGTCTATGCTGAAAAGCCGAGAAGCACTGTACAACCGTTTCATCCTCATTGGGGATCATCACCAGTGGGGAGTTCCGAACCTATGCCCTCCGTTTGGCAGTTTGAACACTTGACTGTTCGGCCACGAGATACTGATGGATGTAGGTATGGCGCCACTCATCCTTCAACCATACAAAATCACACCACATGTTCACGTATTGTCTGGCTCCGCGAGTGATGACTTTGTGAAAATTCTGTGTAACCGGTCTGTACTTTCGACTAGGATAATGCGAAATCCAGGACACAAAGCACTACAGCTTAATTACAGACCAAAACGCACCCAAAAGTGTTATTCCCTCCCAAAATAAGAGAAAAACTAAAAAAATTGAACTTTTTTGAAGAACAAAGCACCATCGGACAGGTGTAAAGCAAGAATGTCCATTCAAATGTGTTCCGTCTCTACTTGAATACGCAACACAATCCATTTGTAGCAGTGCATCTAGACTACTGAACCAACCGGATGTAGAATAAGTGAAGTGCGTGGCTCCAGAGCACAGAGTATAACAGAAGGCCGTTTTCACCCATCCCTGCCCTTCCACTCCACACCACTTTTCTTCACGGAGTCAAGGTTGCCTGATCCGAATTTTGTTTGGGGATCCTGTTGTTGTCCGGGCTGTTGGCCAAGTGAGGACTGTCTCATTGACTTCTTACGACCAAGTTGTCTGCTTGAAGCTGCAATGTTTCTGGCTTGTGCAGTGACAGTACTTTCGCTTTGTGGTACGAACTGTCGCCACGGCCTCGGGGGGAATATGCAGGCCAGGTTGGAGTTGGTCGCCGTGCACTTCAAAACCGATCCAACAGTGTTGAGAAATCGTTTAAGTCCACGAATACAATCGCCCGCAGATAGAACTACGTAAGAGCCTTCAAACTGGGGTTCTCTAGTGGAAAAATGGAATGATTGCCTGTAGTGATAATGCATCCGACGTCTTGAAACCGGAGCTACTGATCTAAAATCGTGCACCATATTTTGACTACTGACAAATTGAACAGTAGTTAGTTTTGTCCCAGAAAAACATAGGTCGCCCAAAGACACGATCCGCCATGTATGACTCTACGAGGATTGGATTAAGAAATTCCGATATTTCATAAGTATGCACGAATCTCTTGTGAACTCTAAGCAAGCCTACAGGAGTACTGAGCGGGGATCATACGTCCTAAAACCGCTCAAACAAACCTGTCAGAAATGACATCAGTCATTAATGCGGCTTACTGGAAGGCTTGTGCATTGCCAGAATACACGAAGTTTATCGGAACCGCATCTAACTCCATCTGAACCCGAAAGAAACTGGATTATATCCTGCTCAACAGGATAGTCATTCAGGAGGGCGAATCAAGAAAATTAGGCTAACAAATTCAAAAATTCGCTTCCTCTGAACTACACAAGGTGACAGCCTGTTACTCCAGGACAAGAACAAGTCATGTCGGAAGGGTTACATAAATTGCAACTAAATTCCCTCCCCCGATTACTCCAAGAGAAGGTGAGATTTTGGACGAAACTTGGAAACTGCGCCTACTTTACGAGCCCGAAGGCGGGCGAAATCGGTCGTGGACTGCTGAAGAGTTTTCAGCAGTTGCGTATCACGTCTGTAATTCAGGTCCAGTTTAGTCAAGGTCACCAGTAAGTGAGAGGTGAACCTGCAGCAGTCAGTTTGTCACGTGTTAGCAGAAGTCACTTGATGGCCTATGATGCCAGACAAACCTGTGGCCTTGACTGCTGATGACAAGAAATCAAATCCTGTTGCACTGCACAAAAATTACCCCGTTTTTTGGGAATAGCGAGTTGTATTCTCCTCGTCTGCAATCGGAACTTGTGCGACAGCTCAAGACATGTCATGAGTACATAGACAAAAGATAAATTTGAAATGGGTCGCCATCTTTCCACCCATGACTTGTATGGAAGTCGAGATCTTGGTTGAGAGAAATGTACCTCGTGATAACTGAACGTCATTCAGTCGAGCCACATGCGTCCCATCGAAACGAACATACTTTGTTGCAAAACTAATGAATCTATGCTGGAAATAAACCTCGAGTGAACGGTGACTTGTACCGTTAGCTCTATTTGTTAGGTCATCCAAACGAAACAGAGCAAGAAACAGTCTGGAATATCCAAGGAGGCGCCGTGACTAAGAATCTGTAGCCCCATGTGATCCCTTATGCACTTACTCGAACAGTATCCAAACCGTTTGCTGATTCCACCATTGTCCTGACGGAACACAAACCGAATTGGTGTTAAAGATAACTTCGTACAAGGGATATTCGTTGCTTGAACACACATCGGACCATTGTCCACGGAAACCGCGATCAGTGTAGAGGCGCGGACACGTCAAGCCTCCTTGATTGGCAAATCCCTGTAGTAGGTGCGCCGAAGGTTTGCCTGAATTTGTTGACAGGTGTGCTAATTCAGTTGAAAAAAAACGAAGGTTGTATCACTTTTGTATGTTCTTCAGTGTCGAGTGTGATTTTAGAGCGAAAACCCCTAAAATTCCCAGGGTAAACAATTCGGTAACAGTGCTAGCCCTCAAACTTGAGTTCTTCTTCTCTTGGATGTACTGCATGTTGAGAACTGGCGGGAAATCTATTTGTTATATGCCGAAGAGGAGGTTACCCACCCCTGAGGCACACGCATCTAGGACGAGATCTCGTGAACTGTTACGTCTAACAGACAAGGTCGGTTTCCAAGAAGGTGGAGGGAAAAACAAACGCGGCAAATGAGCCATTACCAGAAACTTAAGGCTTCACCTAGCCCTGTTCTATCTAAAGAAACATTTTCTCGGCGCTCGACAGTCCAGATAAACAGTAAAAATCCGTTAGACTCGGCAGTCACTGTAAAGAAGAGAGAACGAGATGTTCTGGTAAAGTTTGTCTTCACAAAATCGTACTGGACGGATGATAGTGCGAATGACAAGGCATTGATCGAGAATCCGTCAGAAACGATGGTGATACCGATGCTATCGTAACTGTTATGACAAGACAAAAACTATAGCTTTGCTATCGTTTTTACTACTGCAAAATGAATCTGCTGTGATCACCATCAACCAGGCTTTGCTGTAATAGGTAGATTAGATTTCGATATGGCCTACGGTTTATGAGTTGGCTGAAAACTCGTTGAAGCCCACTATCCTGTTTGAGGCATGTCAGACGACAGGGTTCCATCAATCTCATTTCATAGTTGGAGGCATGTGAAGTCAGACACTCAGTTTGAGACTGAAATGCATGTTGCAAAACAAAAAAGTGCTCAGAATGAAAACGTTACTTCGCCTGCAAGGTCTGTAAAACATCGAAAACAACACCGTTTGAAGAATCTGAGGTGTGGGAATGCTTTATCGATCACCTCAAACTGCAACCCAGTAACTGCTTTGATTGTATCGATCGACCAGACTGTCCATCAGGATTTCTCAGCAAAGTAGTGCCATGGACATCTGAAGCTTCCTTTGTCTGATTAGTTCTAAATAATGAGAGTGAATCCCATTTATGGCAGACATTTTGCTGCAAATGAGGCTTTTTTTTAAGAAAGAGTAGACGTTTTTTCACAAAGGAAACTACTCACAGGGTTGCTGAAAACTCTTCGACAGCCAGTCGTGGGCTGTCTGGAAAACAGCCCAATTTGGGTTCAAGTAGAACATAAGGTTGACGGAAACTCGGGGACTGCGCCTACCTGATGAGCCCGAAGTGGAAGTGCAAAACCGGTAGTAGGCTGTCGAGGAGTTTTCAGCAGTAGTTTCCTTTATGAAAGTATACTGCAATATCTCGAATATCGTGCCAACTGAGTCTTGAGGCGGCCTGTGTGCAGCACATTCAGTTGTAGAACATCATAAACGAGAGATTCAGTTAAGTCTCTCGTTAAAACCCAATCGATTTGCAAATTAGTGTGTTTCTCGAAAGAGTAGACGTATTTACTTGAGACCGGGTTTGGTCCGAACAAGTGAAAATTCGTCACTCGAGAAATCAGTCAACACGTGATGAGGTTTCCGCGGTTGAACAGACAAGTAATTAAACTACTAGCCGGGAGATCGAATGCTTTGAAATTCCCTCCTGGAGTTCCGTGGGCTGTTGATGATTCCCGGTAAGGATGAAACAGCTGTGCAAGGCCACTCGGCTTTTCGGTACAGATTGGTGGTGCCACTTACAGAATCTCAATTGGACATTTCGCTTAGTTTGCCCCTTTGGTTCACCTCTAATCTCAACACGAGTTGACATTGTCAAAACACTGTCAAACTTGTCATATTTAATTGTACTTTTACTTACTCTTCGAGGTCGTCTCTGCGGCTTGTACGTTCCATTCCAACCCGCCGGTGATGCAAACCAGAGCGAATAGTAAGCAAAACATTTTTGTGCTATAAAGGATGATCAGAAATCACGGTATATATAATCAGAATAAAATGTCATCAGAAGGGCTGAGAGAGGCTAGCTTCGCGGTTAAGAACCAGTCCCGTGGAGCCAAGTCATTAAATGGCTTTGTTGATAAAAAGTAATAGAGTTTTGGCGAAGTACACTCGTTTGCAAGCAAATTTGTTTTGCGAAAGACTCACCTGGAACTCACCTAAATCTCTCGTTTATGATGTGGGCTGTCGAAGAATTTTCAGCAACCTTATGATTAGTGCATTACGAATATACATGTATCGCGACATCTCGAATATCGTAGCAACTGAAACACGAAGCAGCCTGGTGCAGCACATTCCGTTGCCTGGAGACATTACAAACGGGAGATTCAGCTGGGTTCCAGATGAGAGGGATTCGAGGGTGAATTTATCCACTCCTTCTTGGGTACGAAAGATCAAACTCAGATGGTCGGTAAACAACAAGTGGAGTGTTCTGTGACTTCATCGGTTTTTGACAACACTATAACCTCATAAGACTGCGCCTACCTGGTGAGCCCAAAGTGGAAGGACAAAACCGGTCGTGGGCTGTCGAACAATTTTCAGCAACCTTATGAGTAGTGTATTTCGTCGATAAAGTTTTATTTTCACGAAACCGGTTTATCCCCATTCAGTCGAATGGATACATCTGGAACCAAAAATTATGTTGTATTTGTCATCTTAAAAGTATTTCGCTGCAAAACACACTCAAACCCATGCGGGCAGTCATAATGAGGTTAAGTCAGTCTTAACCAGGGCACTGAAGTCATTTCAAGTGCTAACAATTTCTGTTGGTTGAGAAGATCTACTCAAGAACTGGGGTTCCTTCTTGGCTCCCAAAAGCCCCCCTTCGAGGGTATGGACCATATTCCGTCCCAGGAAAATTGAAGGTCATAATTTTCTTGCGATTGGTCTGTTTTTCTTACAAATCATTTGTTTTTTGTCCTTAGATTTTAACAACGGTCTGTACTTCATACACCAATCAAAAAGTTGATTGGGTTTTAAGGCAGTCGGATAGACAATCCGTGAGATTTCTCACGATTAGCCGACTTATTCGATGCTGCGTGTCGGTCTGTAGTTCCTGTTTGTTGGTAAGTGGGGATAACTAGAAAGTGTTTGTCACAGATCTTTTTGGTCTGTGCGCGTTGCGGCGTGCCAGGACGACTGGATTGGGTTTGGGGCAGGGGACCATCTTTCTGATAACTGCACACCGTTTCGTGTCATCCCGGCTGATCTAAAACCGCCCTCCACCAGTTCTACGCCCTCTATTCTATTCATCCTGGGGTGGCGATTTCTACCGACCCGGCCACTAGTCGCGGTGGGGTGAATCTTAAGCCCCGTCTCATAATGTCCACATTTTCCAAACTTATCCTTTGTCCAGTGTCTAGTGCATGCCCTGTCATTGCAGAGTTCTTGACTATCGCCTGATATTCATCCACTTTTCTGAGCGGTCTTTTATGCTCACCGATTCTGGTGTGCAATTCCCCGAAATGATGATTACTCAATCGGTTTCAAACTGTTTCCAATTTTGTGTCGGTTCACTTCTTCCCAGTCAAAAGTCCTCGTCACCCGAACCGCATGCGACATCCTGAACAGCCGGGTTACGACTGCTTCTCTATCAATCAGATCCACAGGTTTAATCTTTCGGCGCGTAACTTAACAGGATGGTGGGTTCTTTGCCTTTTGCCTGTTGTTGAATACGTTAAAAACGAAAAGATCCATCTTCCGTGGTTAGATAACCTTAATCCACGGACGTAGAGTCGGGATCCAATCGATAAGAACGCCACCCGCATTGCAGTTAGGCACACAATTTGACCCTAAGTTTAATCTGTGCTCATTCAGCGCCTAACTTACTAGTTCGAGCTTCAATAACGCGTATATTCATTATTCGCCTATTTGTAAATTTCTAAAGCGAAGCAGCGTTACCGAGAATTACAGTCACTTTCAACAACCGGTCCATAAACTAGTTGTATTTTGTATGGAGAATTTTCAGTACCTGTGTGATGGTGATACTACTGATGGGAAGGCACGCGAGTAGCATGTGTTGTCCATGAAATTTCGCTTTGCGTCTTTTGAAAAGGAGAGATCTGTTGCGGAATTTGTAGAGCCACTTTGTAACATTTGCTTGAGTTTGAGCGAGGAATAATTGGAGTCAATGAATCTCCAGGAAAGTTCAAGAAGACGCGTTCGGGAGAAGATGGGTGTCCAGTTTTTGTAAACAAGATGCAAATTAGAGTTTTGCTGCCCTGTTCAATGATCTGTAATTAGTGAGTTGGCGTTTCCCAATAAATAACTCCGCAGCGAAGGCCTTTTTCCTTTTCACCTGCACGGTACGCGTTCAGGATGTTTTTATGGCGAACAAGATGATGACGATAGATAGCGAACTCTAGAAACGGACTAGACAGTCAGCAGTCTAGGCATTCAGTTTTACCGATTACTGTTATCCATGTGATGACAAATCGGAGAACGACGAACATTCTTATACCTTTGATGGCGTTTTTACTTTAATTCTTAAAATTTCACGTGGAAATTGACACCCAAGCGTTTGGTAACATTCTAGGTTTACTCCCGGTTGGGATCAACTCAAAAAACGTGATATAAGATTCAAAACGTTTGTTGGACAGTTTCTTGGAGCTTAAATTGGACTCAAGTTTAGCTTGATCGTCAAAATAAGGGCCTGTTCTGGTAGTAACCACTTGGGCCAATTAAATCGACGGTCCCCAAAGTGTATCCCTACAGTAGATCTCAAGTATGACCTTACAGTCAACATGGTGCGAGAAAGCTCAGTGGTTAGAGCGCGAATCTACTGACCGGAAGATTCGTGGTTCGAATTCCACCTCTGCCTGTCGGCTTCTCCTGTCTAGGTTTAAGCAACCTGGCAGCCTTCGTGCTTCCTTTGGGTAGCATGGCAGCTAGGTTCGAAAGGGTGCTACAGCTGAATTGTTTTTATCTTTGTGGTGCGTGTCCTATGCATGCGACTGCGCGTCACGTGACTACGCTCTCATCTTTGAGCTATTCCTTTCTTTAAAGCCACTTTCTTGTAGGGGCTACTGTACCAAGCATGTGAAGAACATTATTGGCGAGCATGTTGCGGTAACGATTCCGGAATGATCAATCTGCTTTACAGAAAGGCGAATGCACGCATAGCCAGTGAGGAAACGGCACATATTTACTAACAAATCGTAAGTGGCAGTGTAACACTCGACACTGCTTTCTCTATAGATGTTACCTTGCTGGCTATTAAAATAGAACCAACATTAGTATAATTCTTCAGCTGTAGCACCGTTTCGGTGCCTGGCTGCCACGCCACCCGAAGGAAGCACAAGGGTTGGGATACTGTCAGGTCGCCCAAGCCTAGACAGGTGAAATCAAGAGGCAAAGGTCGGGTTCGAACCACAGATCTTCCAGTCAGTAGATTCGCGCTCCATTCACTAGAGTCAGCTCGCTCGTTGCTGGCTAGTTTTGAAAGATGTCTGTCGTCTTTGGAGACTAGGTGTTAGGTTAGTTTTCAAATGAGTGTATGTTGTTAATTTCGTGCAATGTGGTTTCAAGTAGAACATAAAGTTGACGGAAATGCGGGGATTGCACCTACTCTCTGTGCCCAAACTGGAAGGGCGAAACCGGTCGTGGGCTGTCGAGGAGTTTTCAGCAACCTTATGAGTAGTGCATTACAAAATATATACGTAGGTTCTGGGTTGTTTATCTATTGCCTACAGATGGATTAGGGTGAAATGACACGCCCCTGCGATTTTATTAACATCAGCAAATCGGAATTTAATCGATGCACTGCAAGTTTACAGGAGCATAGTTATCCACTAAACTCCGAAATAGTCCCAAAGGTTGTCAGACAGCTTTGTTCTAACTGTGCACTGTAGTTCAAAGATACCGTATTTTCCGAGACGGGAATCAGTGTCGTTTATAGCAGAATGGTAGTAGTATATAGTGTTCTTCACAAAGCTGAAGGGAAGTTTGGGAACAATTGGACAAAGAATTCGTAAATAGGTATGCTTCGGATAACCAAATGAGCCTCTATATTCTGACGGTAGTTATCTAAAAAATACTAAGAAACCAACACCATTCCGGACAGGAGCCACTTCCTTGAATGGAAGATGATACCAGGCTTCTTCTCGACTACAGCCCACAGTGTGATAGTTGAACTTTCCTGAGGATGGATCACCCTGCAGACAAAGCTAGAAACCTGCTTTTCTCACAGTGTTCGTCCTCTTGCATTGTTGAAAATAAGCACCTATGGTTGATAAACCTGCGCAGTTACAGAATGTAGGATAGAGGCTACTGACTGGTAGATTAGACTATGGACAAACTGGGTTCTGGACAAAAAGGAAATGTATGATTTTCATAAAAGAAACTACTTACAAGGTTGCTGAAAACTCTTCGACAACCTGCGACCGGTTTCGCCCTTTTTGGGGCTCATCAGGTAGGCGCAGTTTCTGAGTTTCCGTCAAACTTCTGTTCTACATGAACTCGAATTGGACTGATTTCGCTAAATAAACTCATTTGCAAATTGAGTTGGCTTTCATGGGAGACTCAAGTGAATCTCTCGTCTACAGTGTTCTTCAACTGAATGTGTTGCACAAAGGCCTACTCATTTTTCAGTTGGTACGATATTCGCGATATCGCGGTACATGAATATCTCTGTAATGTACTACTCATAAGGTTGCTGAAAATCTGTCGACAGCCCGCGACTGGTTTCGCCCTTTTTGGGGTTCATCAGGTAGGCGCAGTCCCCGGGTTTCCGTCAATCTTACGTTCTACTTGAAACTAAATTGCACGAAATTAGCGGACATCACAAACGAGAGATTCAGCGGGGTTCCAGATGAGTCTCTCGAAAAACCAAATTAGTTTGCAAATGAGTGTATATTCGCTAAGGTGGTCACTTGTATAGGCTACGGGATTGATTTCTTCAAACATACAAGCTCCCTTAGCAAACTACAAAAGAATTTACCCTCCAGGC